CTTTTTTATTTTCTAAATTGACTTACTCTAGCAAAGCAATTAAGTAGACGCTTGTCAAAATCATCTGTCACTCTGCCTCCATATTGTACTTCTCCAATCATGTAGCGGACCGTACTCCACGACACGCCCTTTATTTAAAAAAAAAAAAAAAAAGGAATAATTTATTGTCAATCAAAACAAATAATTACCAATAGTTCAGGTCTTTCCCTAGAGGCAAGGCCTGGAAAAGGAAACACTAGCTAGCCTACATTTAAAATTATTCATTATTTTATATTAATAACTCCTTCAGTATTAGATGACTAGAACTGTTACAGTTTTTTCACCAAAGAAAAATCTACAATACTGAACGCTAGTGAATATATTGCCCATAGATTATTTAAAATATGAAAAAAAGACTATTTTTCACTCTATGGACTTAATCTTCTATAATGCCCATTATAATAATGCCAAGCTGTTACAGGGGAAAAGAGTAGGGTTTAGTGGAGAAAGGAGAAAATCAAGTAATCAAAACTTGAATATGCTTTCTTAGTAATATACTTTCTAGAATCAGTATAAGAACAACTAGAAAATTATTCACAAGATTTTTCTACAATGCTACCCTTTGCCATCTCATAATGTGAGCAACAGCTACATCAGAGTATTTATTAATTTCTATAGCAATCTTAAACTAGCAATCTATTTCAGATTTTCATTTTTTTTACTAATTAAAAATCCCTTCAATATACTTTGGGTAGAATAAGTAAGGATGCTTGATTTAGATTTACTTTTTTTTGGTTAAAATTTTATTCTTCAGCTTGGTTACCTTTCGAATCAACTATTTCAAGTCAACTATTTGTATACAACGAGGTGATAAACAAGCACAGAATATGAACCCATACAATTCCATTTGTCATCAAATTGCTTCCTATTAAATTGCTATACCCTGAATTTGGATAGCCTTTTTCATTTCAAGGAGAAATGGTTAGCTTGACTCTAGAGTTCCCACCTGCCCAGGTATAAATTCATCTTGGCTCACCATCATCATACTGATACTGCATTTTATCTGTTTATCTTGAAGGCCTACTGTGGGATAGCATACAAGGAGACTGGACCATACTTTGGGAAGGAAGACAGGAGGGGACAGAAGAAAACCAGTATTTATTGAGCCCTCATTGTGCAGCAGATACTGTGCTTTCACAAATACAGAAACAATGACCATTTTACAGATGAGGAAAGTGAGACTTTGAGATGCTCATTAACTTCCCAAGATCATGGGAAAACCAGATTTCCAACCTTTTATAACACATGTGTGAAAGGACATCTGGGTTTGCATCTTTAGCTCTATGACCCTGAGGAAGCCACTTACTCTCGCTTGTCCCTTACCTCATCAGTAAAGTGGGGACACTTATCTCACAGATTTGTAAAGATAAACATAAGGTCCTTCACACGCAAGCTCTCTGAAAACTGTAAAGTGCCGTTCAATGAGCCACCATTATTAGAAGTTATTGCTATTTATATGCATAAGCTTAAAAGTCAGTTAAGAAGTGACTTACGGTGAAAAGGAACTCACTGGGCTGGGAGACACCGTCTTCACTTCTAAGGAGGCATGTGTGAGATCAGTGAAGAAATTTCTATTTAAGGCATACCTTCTCTCCAAGTGCACTCTGGCATTGGTGGATGTGACATGAGGAAGGCTGTGGTGTTTTGCAACACAATGAGATACTCTGTTTCTTCCCTGATGGTCAGCCTCTACTATGTGTGAGTCTCTGTGTGTGTGTGAGAGAAAGGAAGGAGATCAGAGCGTCTGCATGCACACCTACAGTTCGAGTACAAATGGCAGGAGCAGTGAACAGGTGGTTGGAAGCAGCAGTCCCTTGGGTGGAGAGGGGACAGCGGAGGTGTCCCAGCAGGTTCACTACACATTACGGACTGAAAATGACTC